ACTACATATGATCTGAACATGAATGATAATTCTACAAGGTACTTCGCTGCATACTCCTCCCCCAGTGCTCTCTGCTTCCTGGGTTCAGATTTAGGGCTCAGGTCCCCTCAAGCAGGCCTGCCAGACAGTGTGTGTTTAAGCAAAGCTCTTTTTTTGGGTTCTTGTTTATTTGTTTATTTCTTGTTGATCCCATTTTCACATTTAGTTATTAACTGATAACATTTCCTTCTTAGAGGAAACAATTTTTATCCTCTATCTTTGACATGCACAGCACAACACTAGTAATAGTATTTAGAATGCTTCTTTAACAACAACTTAAGCACAATTTTAAAGCAAGTGCATTAATATTTACTGATAAGTTTCCCGTTTACTTGCTCAGGAAAGTGGCTACATGTCAAAGAACTATTCCAAAGCTCTGCTACTTGTCATGATATTCCAATTGTTAATATGCGAGGTTGTTGTTGTTGTTGTTGTTGTTGTTGTTGGGCCACATCCCTGATCACTGTACTCCACTGCCAGCACTGCTGGTACCACCATCCCCCATCACTGCACACCACTGCCAGCACTGCTAGTACCCCTAGTCCATCACCACACTTCCACTGCCAATTCTGCTAGTAGAACCACAACACTTTCACTGCCCTACCCGCTGTACTATCACTCTGGCCCTGATAAAACCTTTATTTCAAAGAGAAATGTGGGGCTGGAGCAATTGTACAGTAGGGCGTTTACCTTGCATGCAGCCAACCAGGGTTCGATTCCCAGCATCCATATGGTCCTCTGAGCACTGCCAGGGGTAATTCCTGAGTGCAGAGCCAGGACTAACCTCTGTGCATCACCAGGTGTGACCCAAAAAGAAAAACAAAAGAGAAATGTATTCAGTTCTTGGGTCATGTGTGTTTTTTTTAAGCTTATACTATATCACACTTCTAAAATTTGTGTGTGGCTGGAGCAATAGTAAAGTGTGTAGGACTCTTGCTTTGCACGTGGCCGACCTGGATTTGTTCCCTGATATCCCATAGGTCTTCTCAGCACCTCCAGGAGAAATAAGTGAGCGCAGACCCAAGAGTAATCCCTGTGTGTCACTGGATGTGCCGTCCCCCCCCCCTTTTTTTTGCAAGGATAATCAAGTTGGAAAACAGTACGGAGTCTCATTAGAAAACTAAAATTACAACTACCTTATGGATCAGCAATTTGACTTCTGGTATCTATTTGAAGAATATGAAAACATGAACTGAAAAAGTCATATCCACCCCAATGCTTACTGCAGTGTTATTTGGGGGCATTCCCAAGCAGTGCTCAAGGGGCCTGGAGCCACCTTCATTGATCCTTGGCCAAGCAGGCCAGTGTTTCAGAGTGAGAATATGGTGCTGTTTGGGGGGGCCCTGCGGTGTTCAGGACTCAAGACCCCACTGGTGGTGCTTGGGAGTCTCCAGAGCTGCTCCTAGCAATGTTCAGAAGACCTCCTGAGATTGAGTGGGGTGGAACCTGGGTTAGGTGCATGCTAGGCAGGCTTCCTCACCACTGTACTATCTCCCAGTCCTGCAGCATTATTTATAGTAGCTAATATGGGCCACCAGCAGAAGTATCCATTGGTGGATGGTTGGATGAAAAAGACGTGCTATATAAACAATGAAACACTACCCAGATTTACACAAAAGATGAAATTTTGTCATTTACAACAGCACGGAGGGAACTGTGGGGAGTTCAAGCAAAATAGGTCAGAAGGGGAAAGACTACTAGTGGACAATTTGTCTAGGTAGGCAATATCAAGACATAAAACCAATGAATGGACAAAACAAAACAAAACAAAGAAAAAGAGAACAGTGTTGGGCAGGAGAGATTGCTCTCAGGACTGAAACGCCTGATTTGCATGCAGGAGTCCTGGGTTCAATCTCTAGCATTTTATGGTTCCCCAGTACTACGCAAAGAGACCCTATACTGCTCCTGCCTTCACCCCAAAATAAGAACCTCAAAAACAAACAAGGTTATCAAGAGTAGAAGGGTCAAGGTAGGGTATGCACTTAACTGGAAATGCTTATGTTTTTGGTTTTGGAAAGAAATTTGAAAAGTAATCTGTGAATTACTGCAAAGAATTTTGGTATATTCACATCCCACTTTTTTTCATTTTTGTTTTCTCTCCCTTCTCTGGTTTCTCTCTCCCACCCTCTTTTTTCCAGTACACGCTGTACTACCTACTACCAGGGCCTTTATTTGTATTTATTTATTTATTTTTAAATAAACAGATTTTATTTGGAGTTTTAAGGTGTGGAGGGGGAGAGAAAGAGAGAGAATAACGTACTCAAGAGAGAACATGGGTTTCTCCAAGGGCGGAGAGAGCCTCTACACATACCAGCATTAGACACGAAAGCACGAAAGTACACATCTCAAGAGGGGAGATGCGGGCGACACATGTGTTCAGCCGCCACATGTGCTCAGCCACGTGGGCAAGCAGCACATGGGCTCCAGCAGCATATGTGGCCTACCAAGCCTTTTTAGTGAAAGAGCTGCCAAGCCTTTTAGTGAAAGGTCTTCAATGTGTCATTGTTGATATTTGGATGTGAGAGGGATTTGTGCTCATCCTCGCCTGCATTCTCATTATTTCTTAAACCTTTCATGCCACATTTATTGACATCCTGCGACAATCCATTTGATCGATTACTTAATTGAAAGCTTTGAAAAATTTTCTAAAAAATTTCCAAAGACCAGTTTGTTTTCATGCTATTTTTTTCTTCACGATTATTGCTACTATTATTACTTGATTCAAAATTTTCTTTTTCTTTCTTTTATTTTTGGTTTACTCCTGGCTTTGTGCCCAGGGACCACTCCTGGCAGTGCTTGGGGTACTAGGGATCAAACCCGGGTCAGCACATGCAAGGCAAGTGCATCACCCCCTATGCTACCTCTCCAAGCCAAAAATTCCATTTCTTCTAACAAAAGTTTTGATATAGTTGTGATTGTTCCACTTGAATAAAGAATTTTGAACCTCAGGTTAAATAGAATTTCTTAGATTTACTGAGAGTTTGAGAGTTAGCAGTAGGGATGGAGAACACAGAGTACAGGTAAGTGACCCAATGAATTTTTTTGTCCTGCACAGTGTGGTCCGAAAAACTAGAATTGCTGGGCAAGAATAGAGATTCAAAGGACTGGAGCACAAGTTTAGCATGTGGAAGACCCAAGTTCAGAACTTGGCATCACATAGTCCTCTGAGTACAACCTGGAGTGACCCCTGAGCACTGAGTCAGGAGTAGCCCCTGTGCATGCCCAGGTATGATCTGCAGACCAACCAAAAAACCTAACAAAACACACTTGATGGTGTAGCTCAGAAATAGAATACTTCTTTACATGTGTGAGACAGACAGTGTGGCCAGTGTTTCCCTCAGACCCCTCTTAAGTTTCAAGACCTCCATAGTCTTTCATAGACCCCCCTCCACTCCCACTTGGTGGGAGGGGGGTCCCTGCAAAGACTGTCTCCCTCCCTCCCTCCCTTCCTTCCTTCCTTCCTTCTTTCCTTCCTTCCTTCCTTCCTTCCTTCCTTCCTTCCTTCCTTCCTTCCTTCCTTCCTTCCTTGCTTCCTTCCTTCCTTTTCCCCTGTCTGCACAAAATGTGCAGAAATTTCTGCATGAATGATGTGCAGGAATTTCTTCATGAATGACCAACCCTTAACGTACTGTGAAAAATCTACTACAGAAGTCAACACTGGAGTTCACCATTGCCGCCAGCCCATCATTTTGGAAAACTGACCTAGACCCATGGGCAAAGGCTGCACCTGGCCTGCACCCAGGAGAGTTGGAGGCAGACTCTGTGCTTGGAGAGGCTTCAGGCTGGGCCTGGGGACATCCGAATCTGGGAGCATAGCAGTACCCTCTCACATCTCAAACCCTACCTGGTTCCAGCCAGGCAGGGTGCAAATATGTGAAGTGGGAACCTGAATAACCAAGTTCCTACAGTACCATCCTGTCTTTAGAAGACCTCAAGGCTTCTGGATGCACCCTGCTTGGCCTGACAGCTGCTGTAGCGGGCGATTGACCCCTAAGAGGGAAAGAGAGAGGCAGCGAGAACTTGGAACGATTCCGGCTTGAACCCGAGGCACCGAGTCTACATCCGTGCAAAAAGAGTGCTGTGCTTGTCCCCTCTAGCCAGGGGAACCCTGAACTCCCGTCCTGTCTCTTAGGGGCGAGGGAGGCCAGCAGGCAACACAGCTCTGGGGCTGCCGCTGTATCTTCGTCTCCTACTGGCCGTTGCCATTCCTAAATGAGTCCCCAACACTATTTTCTTCATTTTGCATCTGCTCTTCCTAAGCCACAGAACCAAAAGGTGGGCGCGCGATCGACTGGGCAGGACAACACCCGGGAATGCATTTCCTTATCTCGGCCCCATCCCACCGAAAGCGTCCGCTCCAGGCTGAAGGACGGTGACAGTGTCTGGGAGGAGCGTCCTCGTTGGCCCGAGTCCGGGAATTCCAGGGAAGGCGAAGATTCAAATTCTGCATTTCAGGGGCTTTTATTTTGCACTGTGCGCCTCACGGAGCCCGGCCAGCTGGGATTGAGCAATGCCCTGACGGGAAGGAAAGGGAGAGGCAGCGAGAACTTGGAACGACTCCGGCTTGAACCCGAGGCACCGAGTCTACACCCGTGCAAAAAGTGTGCTGGAGCGAGGCGACTTCCATCCCTGCCAATCCCATGACAGGGAGCGCCGGGCAGAAGCTCGGCCCTGCCAGACGGGGTTTACTTTTGGGCATCCAGATCAGGGGTCCCCCACAAATCTGAGTGGCCGAAATGGGTCTAGAACACGCCTTCGTGGCGGGTGGGCGCGGGTGAAGACCCTGCTCTCTGCGGGCTGCCAGAGGCGGGCCCGGGGCGGGGCCTGGGATCGGGGCGGGGCTGGGGCGGAGCCTGGGCCTGGAGCGGGGCGGAATCTTGGGGCGTGGTCTCGTATCAGGGAGGGGCGGGGCCTAGCCTGGGCAGGGCGGGGCCGGGGCGGGGCCAGGACACTTGCCTTTCCAAGGCTGAGCGCGTACTTTGTCTGTCCCGCAGCTGTTGTTGTGGGTTCTGCCACTCAGCGTGAAAACCAGCGCCATGGCCATGACCTTGGGGTATTGGGACATCCGCGGGGTGAGCAAGGATTGGAGGCGGGAAAGCGGGGAAGGGTTGCTTAGAAAAGACCGATTCTATTAAAATAATTCGGAATCCAGGGCTGGCTGCTGTACCAGGCTCTGTGTGTGTATGTGTGTGTGTGTGTGTGTGTGTGTGTCTGTCTGTCTGTCTGTCTGTCTTTCTGTGCGTCTGTGTGTGTCTGTGTGTGTCTGTGTGTGCGCGCGGCATGTGTCCGTGTGTGTGTGTCTGAGTGTGTCTGTGTCTGTGTGTAGGTGTGGGAGAAGGGGCGATGAGGTGGAAAGATGAATCTTGGAGATATGAATGTGGGAGATTCCTTGCAGCAGAAAAAAATCTCCACTGGGAACTGCTCTGACTTCTGCCCGCACCATGTTTCTTAGCTGGCTCACGCCATCCGCCTGTTCCTGGAATACACCGGCTCAAACTATGTGGAAAAGCTGTACTCCATGGGCGACGGTAATGCCATCCAAGTTTTGTTTAGACTTCCGGCAACCTCAATAATTTGGGGCCATGTCCCACCTCCCTGTTTTTCTGTCTCCCACTCCCACCCCCGCACTGCTGACTTCACCTTCCCCGAAACCTTTGGGGGCACAGTTCTGGATGGGATGTGGCAGGAAACTGCTGACTCCACTCAACAGTAGGTTGGGATGAGCTCCCCTAGGGTTTTGCCTCAATCCAGGGGCACCTTACTCACATAGGTTCCAGAGCCTTCAAAAACTTATGTACTCTCTAGTTGGAATATGAGCTTTGTCAGATTCCCAGTTCACTTTGTCCAAGGGATCATGCCACCAAATCCTCTAAAGTTCCCGGGAAGTCAGCAATGGGGAGGTCTGTTCACATTCCATCTTTCCCACACAGCTCCTGACTATGACAGAAGCCAGTGGCTGAATGAAAAATTCAAGTTGGGCCTCGACTTCCCCAATGTAGGTGCAGGGCCTGGCGGGGGGTGGGGATGTGGGAAGTCTGAGGAATGTGTGCCTTCTCCGGTCCCAGCTGAGAGCATCAGGACCTGGTGTCTCTGCCCCCCTATGTTTCTGGGGCGCTGCCCTGCCTCTCCCTGGTGCTGGGCTCCAGCTCATTCAGTCCACTGACAGGTTAACTTTGCGCCCCCCCCCAGCCAAGGATGGAGGGCCAGGTCCCTATGGAAAAGGTGGGATGCAGGGGAGCCCGGGGACCCCATGACGTGCCCTGTTGCCTTTCAGCTGCCCTACTTAATCGATGGGCCTCACAAGATCACCCAGAGCAATGCCATCCTTCGCTACCTGGCTCGCAAGCACAACCTGTGTGAGTGTTGGTGGGGAAGGTACAGGGGACAGGTGGGGTGCCCGGGCTGGCCTGGGGATGCTGAGGGAAGTGTGTTGTGTGTCTGCAGGTGGGGAGACAGAAGAGGAGCAGGTTCGCATGGACATCTTGGAGAACCAGATTATGGACACCTTTTTGCAAATGGCCCGGATGTGCTACAACCCTGACTTTGTGAGTCCCTCCTGCTGGGCTGGACACAGTCTATTTCAGGGGCCCAGACCCGAGCGCCCCATTTCCATTCCTTCTGTTTACCAGTTGCCCCTCTGCTACAATTTCCTAAATGCCCTGCGGCCACCCCCAGGGGCTGAGATAGTGTGACAGGAGAGCTCTGGCTCAGGCCTGTGGTCTGAGGGCCTTGCAGGCTCCTGGGTGGCATTCAGTTACCCGCAGATGTTTGCTTGGGAGCCCAGGGCCTTCCTCATGCCGTCTGCATGTTCCAGCACATTCTCCCAGGAACTGGTGCCAGGTTGGACTTTGTCTTCATTCAGTTTTTCCAGGTCTTCTGTTTCCAGATCTATCCCAGTGTCCATCCAGTTTCCTGTCTTTCACTTACTAGAGATTTCTGTTCTTTCCCTGAATCATTTCAGTTCTTTGTCTGATGTGCTCAGAGCTGGCTGGGGGTCATTGCCCTCTGGGCTGGCCCATGGGAGAGAATTACACATGGGTGACAGATCAGGGACACAGGGTTGTGGGAGCCCCCACCCCCATAGCACACACAGATGGGGGTGGCACTGGACTCTGATATCACAGGTGGATGGTCTCAGAGCTGGCTCCCACTGGGTGTAGTTTGGCATACACTGCTCACCCTCGGTTACTGCTTGGGGCCAGGCCCATCCTGGAGTCCGGTGATACTTGCCCAGGGAGCAGGGGTGAGTTGACAGCTGCTTTGTGTTTCAGGAGAAGCTGAAGCCGGACTACTTGAAGGGACTCCCTGACATGCTGAAGCAGTTCTCGCAGTTTCTGGGGAAGAGGCCCTGGTTTGCAGGGGACAAGGTAAAGGGGCTATCTGGGCCATGGGGTCCATCGGGTTTTTTGCATGAGGGGGCCACTCAATCTTCCTGTCTCTGCAGCTCACCTATGTGGACTTCCTGGCTTACGATTTCTTTGACAAGCTCCGCATGTTCGAGCCCCCATGCCTGAATGCGTTCCCCAACCTTCAGGACTACATGGCCCGCTTTGAGGTACTTCTCAGGGCTTTGATCTTCTGTCTTCTCCCTGCTCTGTTGCTCGGCTGGAGCTAAAAGGAAGGAAAGCTCCCGTTCCCTGCCCCAGGCAGGACTTTGCTAGAACATTGCGGGGCAGTGTCTGTGCCAGGTTTCATCTCACAGCACCCTGCACTCAGCTTCATCTCCCTGATGGGGAGTGACGGCTCAGGCCTGGCTTTGCAGGGTTGCTCTGCCTTGGTGATGACCTGAGTTGGCCTATTAACCAGGAGGCGTGGAGAGATCAGTGGGTGCAGCCTTCCCTGAGGGTGACGGGCCTGCCATTTGGAATCCTTTGTCTTTGGGGTGCTCTCTTCTGGGCAGTATGGTTTCCAAACACCTCTGAGGTTCCCTGTGAGAGGCTCTTGGCTGATTGGGTGGGAGAAGGAGCCCGTTTGGAAGAGAGAAAATGGTTCACCAAAGCACCCGAGTACCATGCCCACTTTTCTGAGTAGGAAATGGTTGAAACAGGCCCAGCCCAGACGCTGGGTCGTCCCTGTTTCCAGCACTCATGGCACCTGGTCTCTGGCCTCCTGCTCCCCCTCCTCCCATGCTCCTGTCTCTTCTCTGCTGAGTTACGGGGAGCCTGGCTCTCTGCAGGCTGCCTGGTTCTGGTCTGCTCCCACGGTGCTACCCTGGGAATCCTGGTGCCTCCTTTTGAGGCATGAACCAGTTGTGAGAGATGGGGCCAGGGCTCCTGGGGGTGGGGGAAAGTGGAGAAGAGCACTGTCGGAAGAGTCCAGATTGAGGAGAGGAGAGGGCCAGGCTGCTTTCTTGCCCTTTTCTGTCATTAGTGTGTGCGTTGACGACACTTCACCACAGTTTAAATTTCTCTCGGTTTTCTTTCTAACTAGTTTCACTCCAGGTAGATGGATGGAAAGTCCTATCTTGAGAGGCAGATGGGTTGAAAGCACCTGGCGAGGTGTGGTGTGGCACCTCCCCAGGTGGTAGCTCTCGTGCTGCATGAACCCATCTCAGCTCCAGAAGCAAAATTAGCTTAAACTCTGGGGGCCTCATATAAAAATGTCTAAGGTCCCCTCGCGACTCTCCACAGAAGCCTGGAGTGGTCCCAGCAGCCAACAGGGACGCTGAGGCACACAGGTGGGCAACACACTCTCAGGTCTGGGTTTTACCTTTCCCCTCAGGGCCTGAAGAACATTCCTGCCTACATGAAGTCCAGCCGCTACATTGCCCGCCCTTTGTTCCTGAAACTCGCCGTGTGGGGCAACAAATGAGCAGGGGCCGGACTCCAGGCACCGGAAGCCCACCCAGGACCAAGGCTTGTAGTGGGCCTTGGCAAAGCTCCACAACGCCAGATACAGCTGTTTGGCTTTTCCACTCTTTGCTTCCACCATCTTTGATGCCTCCCAACTTTGGCCAGGCCCTTCAAGGCTTCTGCTCTCCTCCTCCCCCCAGTAGAGTCTCTCCCCCACCCCCACCCTCCTCCCGCAGAGGCTGCCTCTGATCTGGGAGCCTGGTCAGGACTCTGACCTTGGACCACAGTCCTGAGCTCCCAGCACTTCCTGAGGATTGGCGTTGGCGTGGTGTGTGGCCTGCGGGTGAGGGGACCCTTCTGCTCCCCATCAGGCCTTCATTCTCTCAGCAGTGGATTGTCTTCTTTAATTTTTCAGTTTGGTTTGGGGGACCTTGCCTCAAGATGGGTCGCTGTGGGGTGGAGGTGATGTATGGTACGGGGGGGGGGCGGGGGAAGTGGAGGAGAGCTACTCCTGCCTCTCTACTGTCAGGGTGTGATGGGGGGAGAGGGTGTGGGTGTCGCTTTCTACATGCTGGGCATCTGGACCAGGATCTCCCCTATTCAAGACAAGTGCCTTAATCTCCATGCTGTCTTCCTGGTGCGGTTTTATTTTACTCCCTCATGTTACTTGGTCTCAGGATAGACTGTTTTGAAGGTGTGGGATTCCAGTTGTCTGTTCTATGTCCTGGAAGGGACTGGTTGGTTGGGAGTGTGTGCGCATCTAATAGGGAGGATTGCCAGCTTCTTGCTCATTTCTCTCTGCCTCACCCCCCTCTGTTTCCTGGCATGGAATCTCTTAAGATGGGGTGCCCTTGTGCGCCTGAGTTTCTCCTTGTGCCCATCTATGCAATGCCTCCTCTCAGCTGCAGGCTTGTTACAGGTTAGAGGGGCTCTGGGTTGCTAGAAAAGGGGGGTGGGATCCTGTGGAACCCTGGGGGACTAGCCATCCTGGAATCTCAGTCCACTTTACACATGCTTCCTCTGTGTTCTTACGACACATCTCAATAAAATGCGTGGAGGAAAGAACTCATGCCTTATTTGATGTTTCATTTTCATTCTCTGTTAAGTCAATCCATAGTATAACCTCTACAGAAAGGTGAAAGCTAGAAAGAATTATCTGTGGGTCAAATCTTGGTGAGCTCTGCAGCCATTATTGGGATTTAGGGCTCAGATATAGTGAATCTCTATTGCCAGAGATAAATGTTCAGAAGGTTTAAAATGGACTGTGGGGAGAATGAGTCAGTGGTTTAAGTGGGTTGTAGGCTGTAAGCCTTGACCAGCGTGATCTGCCATGAGCAGGGGGAGTGTGCTGGGCTGAAGAAAAGCCTGTCTGTGTAGGGGTCTGGGGGATGTGATGTTGGGGTCTCAGGACTCCTCTGAGAAAACCATCATGCTGGCTGTGGGGAGTATTAGGCCTTAGAAGTGCCAACCCCTAGATGAGGAGCATTCCAGGAAGAAGCTTTGGACATTTGTCACTATTTGAATGGTACTTCTTTTCCTGGCAAACTACCCGTGGCATATGCAATATGCCAAAAACAGTAACAACAAGTCTCACAATGGAGACGTTACTGGTGCCCGCTCGAGCAAATGGATGAACTGTGGGAGGACAGTGCTACTTCTTTGCCATTAGTAAATAAAAAGAGAATGCTAGGGCTAGTGCTATGGTCGTTAATATATGGTTAATTACAAAGATAATGTTGGTGAGATAAAAGTATTTATGAAATGAAATGAAGGGTTTGTGAAACTGGTAGAATGAGAAACAAAGTGTATCAAACTGTTGCATAGTTCAGATGAGGAAATTTAATTAATCACTTAATCACTTAATCCCCATTATTCATCGATTTATTCGAGCGGGTGCCAGTAACGTCTCCATTCATCCTGGTTGCGTGCTAGCGTAGCCCAATGGTATCTGTTTGTTCTAGGAACATGCAGAGCCTCAAACCGATCATTTAGGGTCTTGACGAAGAAGTCTGACCATCTTGTAGGTGGGCGTCTACGTGATCTTTTGATGTCCCGTGGAATCCAATCAGTAATGGCTCTAGTCCAGCGGTTGTCTGTAAACCTCATTACATGTCCAGCCCATCTGATTTTTGATGTCTTGGCAAATGAGACAGCGTCCCTGATTCTTGAGCGTTGACGAAGATCAGAACTCCGGATTCTATCTCTCATTTGAGTGAATCGTGATATTCCAAGCATAGTTCTTTCAATTCCTCTTTGAGAGACCCGAGGAATTTTAATTATTTTTTAATAAATAGAGATGAGGAGTGACGTTATAGTAAAAGATAAGTAGAACATGGGGCTGCAGTGATAGTACAGTGGGTTAGGTACTTGCCTTGCATGTGGCTGACCAGGTTCAATCCCTGCATCCCATAGGGTCCTCCGAGCAATGCCAGGAGCAATTCCTTAATGCAGAGTCAGGAGTAACCCCTGAGGACTCCTGTTGCACTCACCCCCCCCCCCAAAAGTCGAATGTGTAAATGTGAAATGGACATTGTTTTAGAAGAGAGTTTGGCCAGAGGTTTTCTGTAGAGCTAGTAGCAACTAAAATGTCACAGTTTCCCCTATCTGTAGTGGAGAGATGGTCTGATCCAATACATAAAAGTGGTGGGCTAGTCACCAATATTTATAAAAAATAGGAGGGTCACCTTTCTGGAATCCTGATCTAGAAACTGAGATTTAAAGGACATCACTATAGCAAAGCTAAAATATTAGCTCTGATTGGTTTTGGTGGTTGAGTTTCAGATTTTAAAAAGAGCAATAATCATCAAGAAAGAGGAAAGCTGTCACACAGTGGTAAAGGAAAAGTTTTATCATCTAAACTGTTAAAGAAGAAAAAAGCAAATATGAAAATCCTGGGGTGGTACTAGCAGAACACATGTATTTCAAACTGAGCCACCAAAAGAGTCGTCTTACCATGCTTGGAATCTAGCAAAGACTTGGGGTTCTCTGCAGTAACATACACCACTCAGGACGCAGCCTTCCCTGTGAAGTGGGAAGCAAGACACAACTGGAGAACTTGGCTTCTGTGCACATCACCTGCCCCGATCGGTCTCAGGCTGTTGATTTCGAGTTGTGCACAGAACCTCCCTGGTTTTGTATTATCAGAGAAAGAGAAAGCAGAAGGAGACTGGAAAAATACAGCTTGGAGCAAATGGCAGTTTTTTTTTTTCATGCTCCACGGGGAAAAGTCCAGACGAACTAACCAGTCCAGCTCCATGGACCGATTCTGGGACTTGGGCTCATTCCCTCTGGAGGTTTGCCCTGTCCGACGATGCTTCCTCACCTCCTAGGCTGAATCCATAGCATGAACATAGGAACAGAGACAGAGCAAACCCAAGGCAGCCAGCCACGTGTCATTAAGCAAAGAGGCAGAAGCTGCGTGCTATATTCTGTGCCTATGCTTTGCCGCTGAGGGTCAGGGAGATGCCAGTTCTGACAGCAAAGTGGTGTCTAGCCTTTCCCACACACAGAAAAGTGAGGGTAAAGGTTAAACCCAAGTGCAAGAGAAACTTTAAGCCAGCGGTTTAAAGCAAATAGAATAAATGCTATGGTATTCAAGATAAGATTTTATCTGGGGGTGACTTATCATCTTTGCTGGGCACCAGGGAAGTAATTTATTAACGGTATTAAGTAACTAATTGATTCCCTGGGAGGGCTGAGGGCCAGGGTGTGACTGAGGGGGTGTCCTTGGAAGTTGAGTACCCAACAATGGAACCCCATCACACGTGGGATTGTTGGAGAGCAGTTTCCCATAATGGGTGATACTGCTCCAAAGTGGGGTGATACTGTCCCCAGGGACCCAGCGAAGGTGGGGGGATATAATAACCTCTGCTGCCATCAGGGGGCGCAGCCTGTTGGTGTAAAGGAGGTGAATTTAAGCAACAGAATCTGACAACTGGTCTACAAATAGAGCTTACCTTTTTTTTTTTCCTTTTGCGTCACACCCGGCGGTGCTCAGGGGTTACTCCTGGCTTTGCACTCAGGAATTACTCCTGGAGGTTCTCAGGGGACCATATGGGATGCTGGGATTCGAACCCAGGTCGGCCGCGTACAAGGCAAACGCCCTACCTGCTGTGCTATCACTCCAGCCAGCCCCCAGAGCTTACCATTTTTGTGGGTGGGGGTGGGCAGGGGTCGGGGTTTTGAGGGGGTAGAGGGTGTGGTGTTGGAACATTGGGCCACACCTGGCAGTGCTCAGGGCTTACTCCTGGCTCTGTGATCTGGGATCACTCCAGGTGGTGCTCATAGGACCATATGCATAAAACTCTATCATTAACAGTATTGTAAATCTTCATGGTGTCTAAAATTTAAAAACTCATAACGCACATAAATAAGAATATTAGAACAGGCCCTATTCAGAAAAGACATTGCACTCCTATGCTTACTGCAGCATTATTCATTATAACCCAAATCTGGAAACAGAAGAAGCAGAAAACTGGTCTTTAATGGGGGAGCTTACCTTAGTGGGGGTTGGGAATGGCTGGGAGGGTAGGATTGGGGGTCCGACTCTGGATTGATGGTGGAGGAAAGTGGATACTCTGGTGGAGGCTGTGGTGCTGGAACACTGTACGCATGAAATTCTACCGTTAGAAGTATTATAAATCATGGTGTCTATTATTTAAAAGGACAAAGTAAAGCAACATACCACTTACTCCAACTCTCTCTATAAAACATAGGGGAGTGTGGACCGGAGCGGTAGTACAGTGGGTGGGTGTTTGCCTTGCTCGAGGCCAACCCGGTTCGATCTCAGGCATCCCATATGGTGCCCCCCAGCACTTCCAGTAGTAATTCCTGAGTGCAGAGCCAGGAGTAACCCCTGAGCATAGCTGGGTGTGACCCAAAAAGCAAACAAAACAAACCCCACCCCCCAAAAAAGCCAGGGTAATGGGAAGGAGAAAAAAGGGAAAGTGCTGAGTTCCATATGCAATAATATGAAATAAGATGCACTTAGATTTTCTGATAAGCCATTTTGTTCTTTTTCACGATTTCTACATGATATGTTCTTGGGCGAGAGGATGTCTGAAGTGAAGAGACTTTTACACCAACGCTGACAGCAGCCAGCTGATGTGCTCCCTGGGTCAGCTTTGGCCTCCACCCCTCTGCTTCCCTCCCAGCCTCACCCCAGCTCCCTTTAGAGCCGCCTTTCCTAGCCCATGAGGCTGGCTGAGAGCCGCCTTCAGCCCTGACAGTTACAGAGGCCAGTCTGCATCCTGTGCTAACTCCAGACTTGCAGGGAGAGATGGAGTCTCGATCCTGATGGATTCCAGAACAATCCTTTCAGTCAATGCAAATGACCATACTGCTGCCCACCACACCTGGCACGCCTCCCACACCCCCCTTTGTGGATGGCTCAACAATCCCCCATTCAACAGTCCTGTCACAAAGGTTTAGCCACTCTCCTACACTTGTTACATTTTCTCTTCCCTTTTCTTATTTTCTCCAGTCACTCCCCCTCCCTCCCTCCCCCTCCCTTCCTAGTTGGGCTTTTGGTGACCGAAGACCACCCACACTGTCGTGTGCTGCTTCCACATATACCTGCCAAGGAGTGCTCTGTAGAGTTGAGATGCTCTACACACCTGGCTTCTGTGCATCTCGTGGCTGGAGGTCCCCTATAGCAAGGCGACCGTGATGGTGCTTGGTGCTTGTGGGGTAGTACTAGGGACTGAATCCCAGCCTCACATTTAGTTTTGTTTGTTTGTGTGTGTGTGTGTGTGTGTGTGTGTGTGTGTGTGAGAGAGAGAGAGAGAGAGAGAGAGAGAGAGAGAGAGAGAGAGAGAGAGCTTAGGGCCACCCTTGGAGGTGCTCAGTGCTTACTCCTGATTCTCAGTGCTCAGGGATCACTCCAGGTGATGTCCATGGAACCATGTACAGTGCTGGGGATTGAGCCTGGGAGATCTATGTGCAAGGCAAGTGCCTACCCACGGTGCTACCCCCACCTCCACTTGAAAGACAAGCACCTTTGCCACAGAACCATTCCCAGGCCCCCTCCTACATTTTGCTGGTTCTATTTCCACCTGACA